AGGTGTAATATCAGGATCACAGGAAGTGATAGTGCCGTTCTATATGGCACTGAAATATTGTGCTTGTTGATCAGAAAAGTCGGCAGTCTGGCAGTTCGAATCCCTAGTATAGGTCTCTTACGTGAGCAGGGGGTTGGATTAGATGACCTCCAACTCCCTTCCAACTCTGTTACTGTGAGTGCTAAAGACCTATGAAGAAGAGGGGATTCCTTCCCACCTTACAATTCTGGGAATCTGCAAATGGGTAAATATGCTTATCTATATATATCAGGGCTAGAAAGAGTGAATTGGGAGAAAGTCATCATGCAACTCTTCTAATACTGTTAAGTTGGCACATATGTGAGAGAATTCTCTGATAAAATGCACCTCTCCAAGGATGAGGAATCAATGGGGCTAGGCAGTGCCAATGAGTAGGTGATGATTTCTACTATATAGAGTACTGACCTATATATGACACATTGAGTTTTTTCAGCAGCCAACCCTGCTGAACTACCATATAATAGTATCTCAGAGACTAGAATAACATTTGGTTTAAATACTGTAGTTGAATGTTTTCAGTCTAAACTCTCTTCTAGAACTACTTCTTTTTTATGCTGTCTAAATGATAAACCAGGAGCACTTTTATTGGCATGGAGATATATGTACTAGTTTTGTGCATCAAGTGCTTGGCTTCCCATTGTTTTCAACATAATGTGGACTTTAATTCCGCAGAAAATTTAAACTTTCAGTTTCACAGAGGGCAGTAGTAAAATAAAATGATAATGATAATGACTGAGAGCGAACTGGCACCAACCATTACATAGTTTGAAAGGTAACAAAATCTCTGCCACTTGTGAAGCAGTGCTTGTTAAATACCTTAGAAAAAAGGACAGCACCTTGAACAACCACCAAGATTATGCTCTCTGTTGTCTTCTGACCAACATGGCTATTTATTTGTGGGATGCTGGCTGGCTGTTCCCTCTTAGGATGCACCCATCAGGAGGCAGTTAAAGGGAAGGGGACTTCTCCAGAGGCTACAGCTGGGAGATTTTTTTATTATTATATTTATATGCTACCTATCTTCCTATCAAGCAACTCTGAAATGCTGCCCCAGTTCTCTAGATTGCCAAATACAGCCTACAGGGTTGCCACCTGCACACACTGCTTGAACCCCAAGCATTTTCAAGTGTTCCATGCCAAAGGAGACAAGCCCTTGTTACAAGATTAGTCAGAATCCTTATATATTGACCGTCTATTATGCCCGGCTAGTCTATTATGCCCTTTTGGCTCAATGGCTCATAAAATAATGCTATTGATTAGGAAAAAAAGAAAATAATTAGTAGATTTAACAGCATTCCTCAAAGATCAAGGTGTCTTGTCACATTTGATATAATTAGTTTAAATGCTACTTTATACCTAGTCATTTCTAAAGCAATCCTCATCTTCAACATGTGTTTCCAGTAGATGAAATCCCTTTCACAGTACTGATGTCCATACAATTTACGGTGGATTGCAGTGTATGAAACCATGCTATAATATATTTGCTATTTTGTAAAAATCTAACATTGTTATCTTCATGGGAATTTAAAATATAGAGAACTTAAATGCTTAAATATTACAGCATGTAATTTCTTTAGTTAGTCTATATATGTCTACTAAAACATTCCTAGACAATCTTCAGAAAGTGTTTCCTGTTTTGGAAATGGCAAAGTAAGGCATAAACTCACTGAAAAATAATATGAATATTAGAAAGAATCTGTATGATGTTGATACACATCCACTATTGCCACTAAGAAAAAAGTTTTCCAGGTTTTCAATTTAAATCTGGTGAGAACAATGAAAAAAACAACAGCAAAAAGATGTACACCATGGCCTTGCTTATTTCACTCCCCTTTCAGCTCTTAAAAACCATTATCTATCTCCAACCTTTGTAGTACGCAGCTGAGATAAAGAATATACAAGGAAAAATTAAGGAAAAAAAGGTAAATAGTAGTAAAGGAAGGGAAGAGCAGATTTGGAAAGGCTGGATGTACTGTAAGGAGATGGTTAACATTTGGCCATCTTTTGTCTCACGCTGCTTGAATTTCAGGCACTAAGTTTGGAGTGTAAACATCTGTTGAGCACAAGGCATATGTTGGCCAGATTGTGCTGTTTTAGGCTCAGATAGAAATTATAAAAAATCACGAAGTGTCTGACACCAAGGTATATAAAGGAGGGACTGATCAGAGGAGACATGAGGCAGAGAAAAACACAGACAATAACTGTACAATAAAATTTTGACAGGATTTCCTTGATGAATTCTGTATCTTACAATCATGGTCAAAAACAGTCCATACACACCCCCAATCTCTCTCCAGCAGCCAAACAGAATTGTGAATTGTTCTAATCTTTCATGTTCTGTATTATAGCCAGCAGTTCTGGAGCCAGGGCCCACAGGGAGAGCTGTATTCAGTTATATAGGAGACAGGGTCACAGCCCTGCAAGAATCGTTTCTGACATTAGGGGAACAATAAATTATTATCTTTTATGATGAGCAGCCATGTTTATAACATATTGTCCAAGTTTTCCAAATATATGGAACTCTTCTTGAGGTTGGATAGATAACACAAAACAAGTTTTTGATTAAACAAATAGCAATCTGATTTGCAATTTATTTCAGTCTTATAGTGAATGTTTCAAAAGTGGGGGGAAAGACAAATCTAATAATCGCCAAAAGTCTTTGATTGAGTCAGTCTTTCCCAACTTAGCAATCTTTAGATTTTGGGCAACATAATCTACAATTCTACTCAGCAAGTCCAAAGGCCATACTGGAGATAGTACAGCTGCCTTAAGATACATGTGGAGCAAAAAGGCTTTGGTTGTTCTAGTGCCTAAAGTCATTGCATTTAACACCAAGTAGTGGAAAAATGAGAGACAACTGAAGAAGATATTTAAAACCAGAGACTGATAAAAACCCACTTTTTAAAGGCAAAGCTTTCTTTAAAAGAAAAGCTTATACTATATTATGCGAATAGCCAATGAAGAGGAAAACAGGATTTTTGTAGAATGGAATTTCCTGTCCTAAGAATGGTCACGGAGAAGTTTACCTGTCCCACTGTGAACCATTTCTGTTATCTCATCATTCTTGTTTAATCTTTTCATTCTTGTATGAAGAATATATTATTTCAAATACACTGCATTAGTCCAGATGTGATGTAACTCTGGTGTGCATCACTGTTGTTTAATCTATCTACCTTCTCCAAGGAATTGTTGTAACTAGAACATCAATCTCAGATGATCTAAGCCTCTAAGGCAGGGGTCTCCAACCTTGGCCATTGGAAGACTTGTGGACTTCAATTCCCAGTTGAAGTCCACAAGTCTTCCAATGGCCAAGGTTGGAGAGCCCTGCTCTAAGGCATACCTACTCAGAGTTAAGATCTGGATATCCAGGCTTGAAGTCTGCTCTAAAGATATCATAAAAATATAGATATTTTCAAGGGGAGCCTTTCTCAGGATTCCACCACAAACAATTCAATAATATTTAGCTTTTGCAGTATCTATACGCTAGTCTAGCATAGTTTTTCAGTCTGAGGGCCACATAGCATGGATGTGAGCTGAATCAAAGAAGGTAAACCCATGCTAGTTTGCCAATGCAACAGTACTACAAAACCCATATTTCAAATATTATAAAGTCCATCCTACACGACCCTCATATCTCGGAACTTTAAGGTACGAGGACTTTGTCTCCCACAATTCTCCAGCCAGCATGGTTGGCAGGGAATTCTGGTGGTTGAAGTCCACACATCTTAAAACAGCTGAGGTCGAGAAGCACTCTTCTAGCTAGCAAGCTCGATTCTCTTCATGTTATTTATTTATTAACCACAAACCGAAGAGAGATGTCACTCTCCTCTTTTAACTTCAGTATTTTCAGAAGTTAAAAACAAAATGCTTTAAGAAAAGGTGGGGGGGAGTAAAGGTCAAGGCTGAGACGGGGAAAGGACGGCCGTGAGAACCAGGGGACGAAGACTCCAATGCGGGGAGGAGGCGGCAGAGGGAAAGGGAGAACGCGCAAGGATGGCTTTAAATGGAAACAAAAGTTTTCGGAAAATTCTGCTGCGGGTCGAATTTGTTATTATGATCCATTAGGTGTTGCATATTAGACCCTTTCAGGACTGTCTAAGAACTTACAGAACTCCGCGCCAGAGGCAGAAACGCGCTCGGGAAGTCGGGGCAGAGCGAAGAGGGCGTTGACCATAGCGCATGCGCGGCATCATGTGATAGCCCCCCCTTTTTCCAACATGGCGGCGCCCAGTTCTGCTCTTCGGACTCTTCAGCTTGTGCAGGTAGAGGGTAGGGTCTGGGCGGGAGGAACGGGGGAGATTCGATCCTCGAACGAGGAGAATGATATCCTGAATCAGAGTTTCGTCGCCTCGCCCTGTTAACGCGGGACAGCGTGGCGCTGGGTCGTTTAATTCAGCTCCGGAGCCTTGACGGCAACCGCGCTATAGTGTTGCTTTCCCCTTCGGGTATTCAAGTTCCTCCCCGCAATACGGCTGCTGGTCATTTTCCAAGTGAAGTGGAAACCAGTGTCGGGTATCTTTAGCCTGTTGGTCTTACCTCGACAGAATTCAGTTTTTTAAAAAAATTAAAAAACCCATCTATACTTACTGGGTAATTTGAGGCCAATCTTCGTCTTTCAGACTAAGCCAGCCCGTGATATCGGTGCAAAGGAAACAGTGGGATATATAGAGCCCTAAACTCCTAGGGATTAAAATAGATTGTAAGTGTAGCTAATAAATAAAAATAAATTTAGTGTTTGGAATTTACACACATACAGATTTTAGGCTAGTCTTCTTCCCAATATGCTAGTTTCTTATGTACAGGTATGTTAAAATAATTAGTCCCCCAGAAAAATTGATTGGCCCTAGCACTTTACAAAATCAATTCTTGTAGTTGTGATTGAATGCTGAAGCGTTTTTGCCTGTAATCTAGAGTGCATAGTATCATTTATTTAGTGTGTTTATTATATCTTAAGTGCTGCTGTGATTTTTTAAATGATAACTAGCTGCCATGAATGCTCTACTGGCAGAAAGATTTGATATACCTTGAAATAATGATACAATCTTTCATGAGACTATAACTAATTAATAACCATGGTATCAGTAAATGGTGAAGACCACGACTTTAGAGTTAAAAGATGGAGAAATAAAACTGCAAGTCTGCAGTGAAATAAAAATATGTACCGTGCTTTTTAGAAAGTTAAAATAATAAGTGTTATCAGCAAAAGTTTTAAAATTAAATAGCTGGATATTTATAATTGAACATAAATTGTATCAAGCTTGATTGGCTCTACTTGGCTGTCAGGATTTTGCTTATGGCTGCACAGAACGTCAACTTTATAACTTTATGAATGGTAAGATAATATCATAAAATAATATAGAAAAATGTAAAATTAGTATATGTCTGTTATCATGATGAGTAGTGGGAGTATAAGGATACTGTGGATATCTGTAAAATGATGGGAACAGCCGGAAGTACTTCGTGGTTTGAATTTGCTGAGCCTTATAGGGTAAATAATAATACAATATAGCAGTAGACTTATATACCGCTTCATAGGCCTTTCAGGCCTCTCTAAGCGGTTTACAGAGAGTCAGCATATTGCCCCCAACAATCTGGGTCCTCATTTTACCCACCTTGGAAGGATGGAAGGCTGAGTCAACCCTGAGCCGGTGAGATTTGAACCGCTGACCTGCTGATCTAGCAGTAGCCTGCAGTGCTGCATTTAACCACTGCGCCACCTTGGCTCTTTGTAATAATTAACATTATAAAGTAATAATGCACAACGTCTTGGGAAGATCAGGGCTGGCCTTTTATGTTAGCAACAATAGAATACAAACTCTAAATTTGATTTCAGATTATCTAAAGAAAATTAAATCCAGTTTATGATTTCCATTCATTAATCATCCATTTTCATCTTATTTGTTAAAATTTACAAGTGGAGCCAAAGTTTATAGGGGGTCTAAAAGCCAAAATTTTGTGACTCTTACCTAACTGAGATATTAGATAGTTGTAGAACATTCCTTCTCTAAGCATGGAGAGTAGGAAAGTTATTTATGGTCAGAGACCATTATCAAGCATAGTATAATAAATGCAGTTCAATAGTCAGATTAAAAACAGGTGAAATCACAAAATAGTTATAAAGTATTACTAGAATGGTTTAAATTACATTTATGGAAAGAAGATGAAATATGGAAGGCAAACGAAGGTATATTTATTAAAATAACCAGGGAAAAAGTGAAGAGCATTAAAAAAGGAAAAATAAATCATTTTAGGAAAAGCAAATTATCAAGATTGCTAAACAATTAATTGTCTTGCACCAATAGCAATTGTAAGACGTTTGTCAGTTGTTCTGGAGATATTTGCTGAGCTGACAAGTAAAAAGATCTAGTGATCCCTTATCCGATCACATATAACTATGGCTAGGAAAAGGAGTAATTAATTCAGTATACCATGTTGTGTAAAAAGGCATCACCACAGGATTGGTGAAACTGTTTTGTTTCCTTGAGGGAACATCAGCAAAGATGTTATAGAAGCGTAACATTTTAAAATCTTCCCTCTAAGAGGGCATAAGGCAAAATGTAGCTTTATTTATTTATTTCCCATATTTCTGGACTGCCTATCTTATCTCTCAGAGTGACCGAGTGCTATGGTGTGTGAAAGGATATTCTTTTCCCTGTTGATTCATAATCATCTGCAGTGAACAAAGAGCCTGGGGACTTGGGGGGGGGGGGGAGAGAACCTTTAACCAGTGGATAGTAATACAAATCCATGCACCAGTTCTATTTTAATCAGAATAAACACTCTCACTCCTTAGTGCCACATTAGTTACACATGGAGTCACTTGGAGTAATTCTTAAGAATTTGGATTTAATCCTTTCCAGAGGGGCCAAGGAGCTACAAGGTCCCAACTGAATACCAAACAAAAGTTGAATATATGCCTTAGTCAAATGAAAATTTAACAGTGATGGGATATGCTGTGCCCTTCCAGAAAAGCTGATTTTAGGGCATTTTGGATTTTATAGTTTTGGTATGTGCTATAATTGAAAAAACAATGAAAAACCATGCCCAAATATTTTTAAAGGTTTTTTTTAGCCACCAGGCATGCAGTCTTGGTCACATTGCAAAAATTAAGACCTTAATTTTAATGTAATTATTTTAAGTCATTATTTATTTAATTTATTAAAATGTATTTTTTTAATCAGTGGAATGGCTCACCTCCAGAAGTTAGAAGCAAGTGCTCCAACACTGAAGGTTTGCAAAAAGAGATTGCATGATATTGGGTCTCTTGCTCGAGCAGGAGGATTAGAAGACCTCCAAGATCGCTTCCAACCCTATTATTCTATATTTTATGTTCTTAAGTGCTTCCTCAAAACAATCAGGGTCTGCAGCACTATCTTAAAGCACTATATTGTGACGAATGAAGGTGAATATACATGTCCCAGGAAATGTTACAGGATCCAATCTGGGTTGGTCACCAGTACCAGAGGTTTCTTAGCCTTCAGACTTATGCTGGACCCCATCCTCAGGAAACCTCTCTCTAGCAGAGTGTGTTAGAGCAAATTTTTTGGCTAAATTTGGGGGATGCCGATCCAAATTACGGTACTTATTTTTATCACAAGCAGTTTTATATATAAATTGAAGAAAAGGGGAACCAAAATATATCTCTTATTCCTCTTCAAGTTGGATTTTAGTTGATACATGCCTCACATGCTGCCATGAAACTTTATTGTGGAGTTGTTTTGAACCTGGCTTGATTGAATAATTTGTGCTAGAACCGTGATGGCGAACCAATGGCACGCATGCCTGATGTGGCCCATGGAACCATGTCACCAGGCACGTGCAGCGTTGCCCGTTTCTCTTCTGGGTTTTTGGCACGCATGCGCATCTGACAGTCAGCTGGCTTTTGTGCTTGCAGCAGTGCTGGAGACCAAAAAAGCTGGTCTTCAGTTTTCTGGCGTGAGCATGCGTGCTGGCAAGCTGATTGGTGCATGTGCATGCATGCCAGTAACCAGAAGACTTGCTGCCCAGTGTGCATGTCGGAAACTGGAAGTTCATTTTCTGGTGCATGTATGCCATCTGGGCAGCTTCTCTTCCTGGTCCCATCCCAGGCAAGCATGCTCACACAAAGTGCTCCCTCTTTAGCACCCAGTAGTGCACGCACACGCATGCTCATTGGGCTAGAATATTGCACAATTAAGATGTAATCAAAGATAGTGTGTCCAGCTCTAAAACCTGCTTGTTCATTTCTCAAAATACACTCTACATTGACCCAGCTAGTTAGTTTTTAACTGCCTCTGTTGTTGGCTGGAGATGAAACCAAATAGTAATGCCATGATTACATGGAGTAAACAACAACAACAAAAAAAACCTTGGTCCTGGGGCAGGAGGATATGAGATTGAGACCAGAGATAATGACTCCAATGAACTCATCCCTGTATTGTCCGTACTTTTCATTTTTCCTTTGACTAATTAGTACCACTCAAATGGAGTTCACGCTGTAATTTCTGTTGAAGTCTTCGTTGTTGGTAATAGTTGCAGTTCAAGATGGAAACCTCTGTATTGGGATTATTGTGGAAATACAACGTTTTATAATAAGGTCTCTTGGTGAGAAAACATGTTATTTAAACTTCAGTTTTTCACTTGCTAAATCATTCTTGCTTTACATGTCACATTCATAATCTGTTATATGGCAGAGATTATATTGAGACTATGAGTAAAGATATTAGATAAACTGTTCCTAAATTTCTGGACTTTTGTTTGCTCTCAGTTTCTAGTTTATGACAGTGTGTTCATAGAAATATTTTTATGTTAACTAAATTTAAATCTTATATTACACAAATTACTATCTTTAATATGCATACACCTTTGCTACATTTTTAAAAAAAGCATTACATTTTTAATTATGTTCAAGAAATAAAATTTATGTAACTGTGAAAGGTTTCTAACTACTGCATGTTCTACTCTATGTGCTCTGTTAAGGACTTCTCATTTAATGTATTACAGTATTCTTCAAACAGTGGATTAAGAACCATGAATTGCCATGCTTTTCTATGCCTAGTTAGTTTATATTTATTTATTTATTTATTTATGTGTAATAATGATGAATAAATTATATATTTTTGATTTTCTAAATGTTGTCTCACAAGAAAAATACTGTTTCTGGATAGATTACATTGTAATTTACAAATAATAAACTCCATTGTTATTTTTCATTCTTTGGATAATTTACTTAGGCAATTTTCCTTTTTCAGGAATGAAAGGAAACAAAAGAAAAATGACCAGGCAAAGGGTTTTTGCCAGCCAGAAACGAATATCAGCTACTCTCAGCTAAATGTGGATTTTTTCATAGTATTTAGTTAAAATTGTTATTACTGCATTAATAGCCTGGTTGTTATCTTGAAGCATGATTTGGAAAATATGTGCAATTTGGCACAATTTGAAAAATATGTACCTTTATTTAAAGATAAGACAGTTCCCAACATCTTGTTTGTCCTCATGATTTGCCTTTGCTTTATTGGCTTAAGTTTATATCCAGGAAACCACTAAAACCATATGGAATTCTGTGATTCCAATTACAGTTAAGGACAAATAAGAGAGTAGTCTAAGAATGATTTTTCTGTTTCCTGGGCTGCTGCTTCTACCTCATTAATCAGTGTTCAAATGGTCTAAGAGAAACAGTTTGCTGTACTGCCAGCAGAGCAGCTTCATAGCGGCTTCTTCATCCCTTTCCCCACCCCCTGTATGCCTTCACAGTGGGGAAAACTAGAGAGGGAAACCATCAATCTTCTTTGTCACAGATGTCAGCAGTGATTCGCTCCCTTCTTCCTGTGTTGTCCCTCACTCCCATGCATTCATGCATAAGCGCACACCACCTGTATTTAGAATTAGCTTTCTTCACCTGCTATGTTCCACAGGAACACATTATGGGTGCATAACATTCCAAAATGCAAGCCAATTGTGATGGCATAGAGAATTTTGATTAGTATTTTTCAAAGGAAAGGCCCCATGTACATGGTTCTAGGCCAAAACCTGGGGCCCCAAGTGTGCAAAGGAGCCTGTCTCCTGCCTGGGTTAGTGATTATTGGTTGTGATACTTTTTTTGGCTGCTATATATTTTAATAGTTGTTATTTTTATTAATATTCATTGACTAGAGTTTCTTGTTGAAATGGGTGGCTGTAGAGATAGACACAGACAGACAGATAGAGATAGACAGACAGAGAGACAGACAGAGTGATAGACAGATAGCAATGGATGGGATGGGATGGAGGGATGGACAGACACAGTAATGCTTACTTCTTTACTTACATATCATATAGACACCACCCATCTCCTTCTCATAGAACAACTCTTGA